CGGCTTCAAGACTAGCAAAGTCAATCATCAAGAAAGCCACAATGACATAAGTGGCATTGGCTTCAACAAGAGCAAGATCAAGGGTAAAAGATGGGCCAAGAGAAGATATGAAAGAGAGATGAAGAAACAAGAACAAGAGAAGCTCTCTCATTTCATGTGCTTCAAGTGCCATGAAGTGGGACATCTTGCAAATGGTTGCCCCAATGAAGAAAAGCTCAAGTTGAAGAAAGAAGAAGAGAGGCTAAGACATGTTAAGTGCTTCAAGTGCCACACTTGGGGTCATCTTACCTCAATGTGCCCAACCAAGCAATTGATGAAGCAACTAGAAGAGCCTCAACCAAAGCCACAAATTAAGCAAGAGAAGACACCCCAAGAGAAAATCAAGATCAACCATGAAGATGGTGGTGATTTGATGATAAAGAAGAAGAAAACTAGAAGGGGTGGAAAAGTAAGAGAAAGAGCAATACATCCAAGGATGAATCAAGATGCAAAGTGAGCAAGAACAAAGAAGAGAAAATTGAAAAGATTGCTCACATGAGATGTTATAGTTGTGACACATTGGACCACCTAGCTTCGGGTTGTCCAAACAAACTTGAGAAGAAGGCTCAAGCAAACAAGGAGAAGCAAGGCAATGTGAAACACAACATGAGCAAGGAAGAAAATGCTCAAGCAAAGAGAAAGTGCTACTCATGCCGAGAAAGGGGACATATGGCATATTCATGTCCCCTAGGTAACACCCCTAAGTCTATTTCAATTAATGATGATTCTATGCTTAGGAAGGGTGAAAATGGTACCTTTATGGTTGCTATTGTAAAACATCCCGCTATTCATACAAAGGCTATGCTTAAGTATGTTGCACCTAACTTGAGAGGACCCAAAGTTAGAACGGTTAGCCGGTACGATTAGATTTTAGAAACAACTATTCACCCCCCTCTAGTCGTCATCTTGACCTTACACTCCTCTGCTTGCAAGCCCGCCTATGCTAGAGCGATGAGCTCGCTCAGTCTGCCAGTGTCGTCCTCATCCTCGTCCCCCTCATCAAACAACACCATCGGTGATTGAACGGTGCGACCATCTCACGTTTTGTGCTCATCTAACTTTTTTTCCTCATACCTTGCATGAGCCACCTCTGTGGTATGTTTCTCGCTGCATCCAATCCCTTCATGTATAAAATGTAATCAGTTAGCAACGCGATTATATTACATTTAAAATCAGGCAACAAAAAAGGCTTTCAAGCACTCACTGGCACATAATGCAACAACATGCTCGCTCAAGATCTGCATCTGTACTCTTATCTCCTATCTTGCCTCCTTCCTTCCTCTCTCCTCCTGTAATGTCATCCGTCTCTCCATTCCCCATTTGTCAAGCCCAACATCGATTGGGTTACAAATACCACGCTGTCTAGTAAACTCACGTATCTTTTCTTTGTGATGTTTAACGAATAGGTTGATGTACTCAGGTCCATATCTCCTCTTTCATACAATTATTTGCCTCCCCTTCAGTTCATCCAAGAACTTAGCTTGACCATCATAACATTCCCACCTGCATTTCCTAGTGCTCTGTTCAAACAAAAAATATATCATATATGTGTTAGCAAAATAAACAAAATACGATTTCATGTTTACCACAAAAATAACCAACCTCATCATAGTCAACCATATGGCCGTAATAATGGCCTATTCCAAGCTCTGACGGAAGTAGGCCATAGTTGGTTTAACACCACATTCGCACATGACAGGAGGTGCTTTGTAAATTACTCTTTCTTTCTTCTTTTCCTTAACCTTTCGTGGTTCTTCCGACCATTGGTTCTTAGGACCATACAACCACTCCTTGAAACGACACTTCGCCATTGAAAACACCTAAATAAGGTGATATTAGTACACGCACACATAGAGCTAAACATTTAAATAGATACACTTTCCACTTACTTCGTGTTTGTTCGGACACACAAACTCCAAAGTATTCTTAGGATTTATCACAGCTCGATCTCCGCATTCGTATAAAGGAGGTTCCTCGAGTCATCTAATTGCGGCTAGGTGCTTCTCCTTAGCCGTTATTGACGGGGGGTTAGGGGGGTGGAACCCACTGCTTGAAGTGCTCATGTGAATGTCCCCCTCTAAACCAATCGTCGAAAAGGAGGTACCTAGGGTCAAACTTGTCTGCACCATCGATCCACTGAAAAGCACCTCTCATGGTCCTATACAACGAGATTTCAACAAAATATTAGTAGGATACTCACACAAATAAAGAAAAAAGATAGTGGATACAATTTCTTACATTAAAACGACTGCATGTGTAGAAGCAGCGCGTCGCTGTGTCCGGATGTTTCGATTGAAACATGTGGGCCGAAAAACCACAGTAACAGTTAGAGACAGGGAGGTCAGGAGGGATGGGGGCATCTTTGTTAGACGCGTCTGAAATCATCTAGGCCCCTAGTTGGGTTTCGGTGATTAATGACAATACGTGATTACTGTGACTAACGTGTGTTTTACAGAGGCAATTAAGTTTGGTCACGGTAATGGAGATCGATTGGGCAATCATGGTGGTCATGCCCCTACGATGGAAATCGTTTCAGTTTTTAAAGGATGGATGACAAGGTTAAGGATGGACTAGTTCTAAGTGTCGATTGGAGTTCAAGAGATACTTAGAGTAGTTTAGGACTTTGTTTTTCCTTTGGCCGTACTATTAAGGGGGGTATGGATGGGTAGCTTGACTTAGATGTGTCTAGTGGGTTAGGTGTGGTGCACACTTGCTAAAACTAGCACTAGGTAGCTTCAAAACAACCCTTAAATCCAATGGAGCAAACTTTATTCACGTATGATCGAGAGTTGAAAGTGAATGGAGGGTCAAATACTGACCGGACGCTGGCTCCGGTGTGACCGGACGCTGGCTTAGGGTCTGGTCAGTTCATTTGACCAAGGTGAAATCGTCTGGTGCGACCGGACGCTGAGGGCCAGCGTCCGGTCGACTTCAGTAAGGTTCCAGAGAGGGAAAATCACGACCGGACACGTCCGGTCAGTGTTGACCGGACGCTGGCCAGCGTCCGGTCACACTTTAAACACTGGAGTTCGAGGAGAACTGACCGGAGCGTCCGGTCAATATGACCGGAGCGTCCGGTTACCCCGCAGAGGCACATAACGGTTCGTTTTTCAGCCGCTGTTATAAATACCACCTCCATTCGTGTGTGGGGGTACTTTTTGCTCATTTCAACAGCTGAGAAACACCTTTAAAAGTGCCAAGAAGGGCAAGGTCCTAGTGAGGTGATTGAGATTTGAGAATCCCAAAGAGAGCCCTCATTAGTGAGATCAAGAGTAGCAAAGTGTGCATCCACCCTTCTCATTAGGCTTGTCGTGGTCAAGTGAGAGTTCGTGCTTGTTACTCTTGATGATCGCAATTACCTAGACTGCTTGGTTGTGATTGGAAGCTTGGTGATCATTCGGAGAGCTTGTGGATGACCCAACTCAAGTTGTGAGCGGTTGTGGGTTATTCACCGCGACGGAGTGTCGAAGAATCAACCCGTAGAGAGCACTTGATCCTTGCGCGTATTAAGGGGGAGCTACACCCTTGCGCGGGTGCTCCAACGAGAACTAGTGGGGAGTGGCGACTCTCCGATACCTCGGCAAAATATCGTCGCATTCATCCTTCTCTATTTACTTTAAGCATTTACTTCGAGCACTTACTTTGAGCAATTCAATTCTTGTCTTTACATTCATAGAATTGCCATGCTAGAGTAGGATTGAAACTTAGGTTGTAAGCCTTTTGTGCGGTAAAACAATTAGAAATACTTTCTAGGCACAAGGGGTTAATTGGGTTAACCGTGGGATTTAATTATTGTAAAGAAATTTAGAATTAATCTAATTCACTCTCCCTCTTGGGCATCTTGATCCTTTCAGCGTCGAGGTATAATTCTCGAGGACGACCCCGTTTTCGTCAAAACTCATTCCAATACATTTCTTGCATCTAACAAAACGGATGTAATTTAACAAACAAAAATCAAAACATCACAAATTAATATTAATGATAACCATAACTACAATACAACCAATTTCATTCTAAAAAACCGAAAGCAATTAACATTAAACCCTAAATCTAGTGTTTCCAATGTTATGCACAACAATGAACCCATAAAACATAACAACATGCGCTGCGATTACCTAGGTATAATATAAATATTAAAAATTGCATGAAACCATAAGTAACAACGATTCTTAGATTAAAAATTACGACTAATATATACTGAATTGATGCAAAAAAAAACTAGGAGGAGAGCGATGATACCTTGCTCTCGAAGATTTATGGATCAAATTAAAGTTTCTAAGGTCCAATATACCGATTCGTGAGGTAGGGCGAAGTGGGGAGAGAAAAAACCTAAGAGAGTGGAGAAAGAAGAGGAAGAAGGCTCAGACAGGAAGATTGGTGCCAAGGTTAAAACACCAGCTCGGCGCCATAGATCATGGCTCCAAGCTCGATGCCGAAATCTACGGCGCCAAGCTCGGCGCTAGGATCTACGGTGCCGAGCTAGGCGCCGGGGTGATTAGCCTCGAGCTTCCTGCCATATCACCGTCACGTCTGTTTCAGCTTTAGAGCTGACGTCGAGCTAAGGCCTAGATTTTAAAATCTTATCTCTAAAAATATATTTGTGAGATTTAAAAAATAAGCTAAAAAATAAAAAATTCGGGCAACCTGCGATGCGATGCGATGCGATGACGCTGCCATCACTGTCACGCACGTCGCAGGACGCGTCCACATCGCCATCGCCCGCGCCGCCCGCAGCAGCACCGCCCACGCGCCGCCCGCACCAGCTGCCCTTCTCTGTCCCAGCCCACCCGCCTCCGTCCTTTATAACCTCCGCCCGCCGCTCGCAGCTCGCTCGCACACTCACTCAGCCCGTTCCCGCTCCCTCCCCCAAGGTCGTCGCCACCGCTTGCATGCAGTTGCAGCTAGCAGAGCCGAGAGCTTGAGCTTGACACGCAGCCAGCCAGCGCCGAGTCAGCGACGCCATGGACGCCGTCTCACTCTCCTGCGCGGGCGTGGCGCCGCGGAGCGCGCTCCTGTCCCACTCCTTCGCCGACGCGGGCATCGCGCGCGCGCTCCATTTCTCCCTCTCCGATCACGCCCCGGCCGAGCCGCCCGCGGCCACGACGATGCTGATGCACGGCGCCGTGGCAGGGACGGACTGTCCCGGTCCCGCGATGGCCGCAGCGCCGTCGCCGTCGTCGTCCGCGCGGTGCCGGCTGGGCCCGGCGGGCGGGCACGCGGGGAAGCGGCGCCGGCCGCGGCCGTCCAAGCGCGCGCCCACCACGTACATCAGCACCGACGCCGCCACCTTCCGCGCCATGGTGCAGCGCGTCACCGGCGCCGACGAGGCCGACCTGCTGCAGCCGCCGCAGCAGCAGCAGGACGGCGGCCTCCTCCTGCCGCACCTCGGCGTCGAGCAGTTCCTCCTGGCGGCGGGACACGCGCCGCACGTCGCTGCTGCTGCTGCACCGTACGCGACGGCCACGCCCGCCGCGGCGGCGGCGGAGCAGCAGCCGCTGTTCCCGACGCTGGACTCGTGGAACGTCATGTACGGGAAGAAGAACGAGGTGGTCTCGGCCCTCACTGCTGGCCCATGAAAACGTCCTGGTTGATCCCCGTCCGTTCCAGGCGACCTTGTACGTGAGTGTGCAGCATTAGCATCCTCCATCTAGCTTGGTTGATCAGATCAGCTGATGATTTGATCTCTTCTTCTCCATGGTCGCGGAGAAGCTGTACATCACATATTTACAGTTGGGGTGACCTTTCAGTGGTCTAGGGATGGAATAGCAGAGTTGTGTTAATCAGAGAACCCCAGGGACAGGCAGTCACGCTTTTTCTACTGTATTTCGATTGCAGTACCTGCAGTTGCATCTGCACCTGCTGAACTGCATGCTCCCCCGTAATCCTGTCAATGTGAGCTTCCTGCTGCTTGTGTAAAAAAATGTCTCGTTGGCAATGACCAGAAACTTTTCAGCTGCACCACCACCCATAATTGGCTTTGGTTACTGAATATTTTGGGAGGATAAACCATCTATTTGTGGCTTTACCAATTACCATGCTGCACATCAAAATCACCCAGCCATCAAAGCTTTTTTCCACATTATTACACCTATATCAGCCACAATGTAACCGTGAACGACACGTCACGACTCACGAGCCAAAACTTTTTCATGGGTGTGATAATTCTGAAAACTTTCGAAGAGGTTATACTTCACTGCACCATACAGGTTCAACGAACACCGAAATTCGCGCTCCACTCACTGCCCTTTATTTGCCCCGCGACCTGGTCTTGTATTCATGTGCTTTGTGCTTCGGAGACTTTGCATAGGTGTTGAAAAGAGGAGCGGAAAATGCTACTCCAAAATGGTACAAAAACGGCCTTTTAATCTGTTCCTCTTTTGCGACAGTGACCGTGCTGGTTTCCTTTTCCCTTACGACCTCTGTAAAAAAAACACACTCCCCGTTCACACAGCGAATGCCGACACATGAAGAGGTCCGCTTGTTTTAGCACTGAATGACGAATCCTCTGAGGCAGCATTGCACCTCATCCGAATCATCATCTGATCGAGGGATGCCCCTGGCCATGGAAAAGATGTTAAGACCCTAGATACATCTAGGTGTAGATGAGTGGATAAAAGACCTTACATTCGTGATAAATAAGTCATAGTTCATGTAAACCTAGAAGATAGAGAGAAGAGGGAGAGAGGGGTGATAGGTTACCGACCATCAGAGGGTTTGGAGGAACTGCTGGAGCCGTCCATGGCGATGGTGGTGGTGCGGTTCGAGTCGATGAAGGTGGTGGCGATGTAGCAGTGAAGTGGTGCGGTACAGGGGCGGCGTCGGGTCCCGACAGCGAAGACGATGGTGGCTGCGCTCCCTGTCTTGATCGGGCTAGGGTTTTTAAGTGGGCGACTATAGCTCGGTTCAACCTCGTGAAAAGAGCCGTTGGCCCCCACCTCTCTTTATAGCGCAGTGTGACGGGACCCATCAACCATGTAGGGTTGGGCGCCCCAATCAGAGCGCGGATCCAAGGGTCCAATTGGCGGTTGGAGATCATCTAACAAAAAAAATTAGGTACTCTAGTGCCACCGTCAGTAGAGACATCAATGTTTAGTAGCAGGCTACCTAAGTTCAAGTTCGAGTTGACACAAATGGTTATTTTAAAACCATCGGTGTCAAATTTGGAAAGCCTTGGAAGACCTCAGCGCCTCGACAGTCCGCCACAAAGGCAGTACAGCACAAACAAACAAGGAATGGATAATAAGAAGTGAACAACGAGGCACACGGCAACCGTTCACTTGCCAGTCTTTCGCAAGCGCATCCTTCCTCAGTTCTCCCCAGCCACCTACAAAAATTCAGGAAACAGAATTCAGTAACAATGGAGAGAATCAACACGTCAAGTCGTCAACTAGAGGGGCAGCGGTAGCCCTAGCTGCGCATGCAGAACCGATGACCTGCCTCTACCTGCACTGCACCCATTGCTCGCGGCAGCAACTCCTGCCGTCTCTTCGTCCGTCTTCTTACCGCCGCAGCAAGGTCCCAGGTTCTCCGTCGCGACGACGTCCTGGCGGCGTCGCCGCCCGGTGCGCGCCGAACGGCGGTGGCGTGCCAGCAGGCGACACGAAATCGCAGCTCCAAGGTAGGCTCACCGATCGCCATCACTACTAGAAACACAGACTTTGCCGAGTACAAAATTATTTGTCGAGTGTTAAAAATCGAACACTCGGTAAAGAATTACACTCGGCAAAAAAATACACTTCGGCAAATGACTTCTTTGCCGAATGCCAGACTCTCGACAAAAGCGCTGCACTCGGCATAGGCTGACCCGCGTAACGGTGTTCGGCCACGTCCTTCTTTGCCGAGTGCCTGCTGTTAGGCACTCGGCAAAGATTTAATTTTTTTTAAAAAAAATTATTTGCTGAGTGTCTCAGATCTGGCACTCGACAAAGATTTATTTTTTTTTAATTTCTTTGCCGAGTGTCTCAGATCTGATTTATTTTTTTTAAAAAAAATTATTTACCGAGTGTCCTAGATCTGGCACTCGGCAAAGATTTATTTTTTTTAATTTCTTTGTCGAGTGTCCCAGATCTGGCACTCGATAATTTTTTTTTTAAAAAATACTTTGTCGAGTGCCTCTGGCATAGCACTCGGCAAATATTTTTTTTAAAAATGTCTTTTTTAAAAAAATATTTTACCGAGTGCCCATGGCACGGCACTTGGCAAATATTTTTTTTAAATGTCTTTGCCGAGTGCCCTGCGAAGGCACTCGGCAAAGAGGAAATTTTTAAAAAATTCAAAACCCTCTTTGCCGAGTGCCTTATCCGTGGCACTCGGCAAAGACCCCCTTTGTCGAGTGCCATGCCCCGGCACTCGGTAGAGTTTTTTTTTGTTTTTGGCCTCCAAATTTTTTGTGCAGCCCTTTTAAAGCATCAGGAACTCCTAGTTAGAATTTAGGAATTTTTTATGGTTTTTTGATATATTTAGTTACTTTATTTCATTTACTTGATTTTTTTCGAAAAATATAATTTTGAACTGCACGTGGTACGAATAATGGAATTTAATGATTCAAAAAATGATAGTCATGTTACTGAGTGTAGTGTGAGGCCGTATCCAGGAACGAACCTGAAATTTCAGACATCTTGTTCATGAAACATGACCGCGAACTTGTGTGCGAAGTATTTTTAAATTCTATAAAAAGCAAACGAAGTCCAAAAATCATGAAACTTGTTGAGATGTCGTGATATCATATGTGGAGGCTATGATAAAAATTTCAGAAGATTTCATGCACGTTGTTTCGTGCCCGCTCCTTGCCGCCATGCATGCCATCCCCTCATTACTTTCATGCCGCCGGCCACGCCCATGCCACCTCCTTGCCGTGCCACCTTACCTCGTCGGCCTACCCCTCGGCGGCGCCACGTGTGCCCAACCCGTTCGACTCAGACCCCGACGCCACCCCTACCCCGGCGCCCGTCAGGTATGCCTTCTCTCCTTTTGTTGTCGTGGTAGTGATAGTTGTAGTAGTATTAGTTGTACTAGTAGTGCTAGTGGTAGTTGTAGTATTAGAAGTAGTGGTAGTAGTAGTACAACTAGTGGTAGTAGTAGTAGTAGAATTAGTGGTAGTAGTAGTAGAACTAGTGGTAGTAGTTGTAGCAATAGTGGTGGTAGTAGTAGTAGAACTAGTGGTAGTAGTAGTAGCAATAGTGGAAGTAGTAGTAGAAGTAGTGGTACTACTTGGATATATTCTTCTGCATGGATTGATATCCAAATTATATGGCTTCTCTTGAGACATATGTGCTTGTCGGCCATCGTGCCGTAGTTTTTTGCTGGTTTTGGAAACCTCACCGTGCAGGGGAGGTTCTGCTGATTTTTTTTTAAATGATAGTATTTTGTTCCATTTTTGTAGAGAAGAGCCCGTCGGAGCCGAGTCAGAGTTCCCGTCGCCGTGCCGGCCTGCCTGCACCGCGCCGCCTCGCCACTGCACCGACCCACCACGGCCCCACTAGCCTGACTCCGCCGCCACCCTAGGTATAACCCCTCTTTCTGTATCATGGTCGTAGATCGCGTAACCTAGTTAGGCGTCTCCCGTTCGAAAGAGATACGGTTAGAGGTATGCAGATCTTTGCATATCTATGACCGTATCTGTTTCGGAATGTCCACATTTTTGGACAGCCCGCGAATGCGTAGATGGGTTAGTTTCCATGGTCTGCTCCGGTCCGAGACAGAGTTTTGGCATCACCTCCCTGTTGTTCTCCGGATACGCACTCTTCTTTGGTAGGACGTGTATCTGGAGAACATCGGGAAGGTGCTGCCGAAATTCTGTCTCGGATAGGAGTAGAGCATAGAAACTAACCCCATCTATGCATCCGAGGGTGGGATTAGGATCTATCCTCACCTATTAGATAGTAGGAACACCATGTAGATGCAATTGATGGTTACATTACTCACTGATACATATGTTAAAGGATGGATGACCGTCAGTGGATGTACACGGGCTGGAGAAGTCAGAGTGATTACACCACGGAATGGATGAACAAGACCGATGCTTTCTTGAACAGTGCATTTGGCAAGACTGCTAAAGGACATTGCCTAGTTTTGTGTCCCTACAGCAAATGTGGAAACAGGAGGAGGGTAAACAAGGTAGAAATGGGTAAACATCGTGTGAAGAATGGATTTACGTCAGACTACACCTGGTGGGTCCACCATGGTGAAGCCCATTGTATGAGATAGGAGGTGGTGAGACGACAGGTGGAGGCTTTTGATGTTGATGCTGGGGTACCAGACATGTTAGATGACTTTCACCAAGGATAGTTCAATGAGGGACATGAGAAGGAGGAGATGGAGGTAGCCACATAGGGGTTCTACGACATGATGGACTCGGCACAGAAACCCCTTCATGATCGGTCAACGGTGTCTAAATTGGATGCCATTGGACGCTTAATGGGGTTGAAGTCTGAGTTAAACTTGAGTCGACCTGGCTTCGATAAGATGTTGGCCGTGATTGGCACCCTGCTTCCGGAGGGTCACATTCTGCCAAAGAGCATGTACGAGTCACAAAAACTCCTTCGAGCATTTAAGATGCCGTATGAGCAGATACATG